TCACCAGCCCGTAAATATGATTTTATATCATTTCCACTTGTAGGTAAAGAAACTGAAGCTCAAAAGTATAAATGACTTGCCTGATGGCACACTCGTAAGAAGCTCTGAAATCCTGTGGTCTTTCTAGTCTAACACAAAAGGAAAGATAATCTGTTATGATTAACTTGGAAGAAATCACTTTCCAAAATGTTTTACTAAGCACTGAATTGCTAGGTAATATGCAAAGGAGCAAAACTAGGTAACTCACATCTATCGTCAACTCCCCCAAATAGGAACTGAAACTACAGCCATCTAAAGAACGGTAACAGTTACCTCCAGATGATCATGGGGCTCAATGAGGGATCATGGGAAAACACAACCCAAACATAACCCAGGAGTAAAGTTACTCTGTGCAAAGAAATGAAGAAGTGTCACAAGGCAGTCAGCCCAGGGAGAAATAACCTCAGAACACTAGGCAGCAGGAAACTGCCACGTCTCCTGTAACCCAGGACCAACATGAAGATGTTAGGCCAAGGGACAAGGAATAGGAAGGAAGTGTGGACAACTGTGTAGTGAGTTTTAGCACACACCTGTTTTGACCTAGCCAGATCATCTACTTATATACTGAGGAAACCTATGGTCAAAGACAGAAAAAAAACATCTGTCAGTCCCAGCATGAATGCGCAATCCAAAAATCAGTCCTCCCCCAATTTTTTCAGCTGTTATGGATTCGGCTTCTCAAGGACAGTTCCTACAATAAACTCTGCAAAAGTACCCCCCACACTGGCTGGCACACCGAGCGCTCTGACGCAGACTTTCCTCAGCTGCACCACTGGGAAACAAGCTCCTCCAGGTTGGTAACGAACCATGTGTAGAGCAAGCGTCAGAGGAACAAAAGCAGAGCCAAGGCACAGCTGCCGGTCCTTCCGCACCTGGCACCTGGCACGGTGCGCCTCCTGACAGCAGCTTCCCCAGTCTCACGAGAACAAGCCTGGAACCCACAATGAAAGGGAGACGCAGAAAGCACGGCAGGTGTGACCTGAGCGATGGCTTTTTCTAATCAGGTCACCACTTTTAACATTACACCTGCAACCTAATAAAAGGGCTTTTTAATGCCAGCTACTCTGACTAGACAACTGTGGATGATTCTGCAAGGAAGGCCGAAGAGTTCTGACCAGGCCTTCTTCCAAAACAAGCACTGCTTCCTTTGCACACACATTACCCACCGTGCCCAGAGGCACAAAGTGTACAACACACTCTACAAACACATACTTGCTAAGTAAACAGAAGACAGCACGCAATTCTAGCCGTGCTCTAGAGTCGGGCTCTTGTGTCCAACTTCTACCTGATCCAGTTCCTACCTGCCTTCCCAGCTGGAAGCCTAAAAGGCATCTTAAGACTAAACAATGGCCAAAGTACAACCATTCAACCACACTCCCCACCGGACCTCAGCCTCGCGAAGCACTCCCAATCTCCACAAAGGGCAGCACATCCACCAAGTTCCTCCTGTGAAAACACTGACATCTCTTTTGGGGGGTGGGGGGACGGATACCAGGAATCAAACTCAGGACCTTGTGTTGACAGGCAGGCGCTGTGCTGCTGAGCTGTACTCTCAGCCGAGTCCTCTTGCCTTCACCCATTCTCCCTTCACATCCACTCCGCAGCAATCCTGTCCACTCCAGCTGCCAACTCCATCCATTTTTCTGTATCTTCGCAGCTGTCCTGGTCAAAATCACTGGTGATCTGTCTGCTTAATTTGCATGCCTCTCTGATCCCATCACCCAGCACTTCCCCACACAGCAAGTCTACTTCAGAGTAGCTGTCAAGGCAACCTGTCAATCCCTTACTCAAAAGGCTCCCAAACTCCAAGGCGCCCTAAGTGGCACAGCTCTACTCAGCCTTGTGTTCAACTGCCAACACTGAAAAAAAACCAAAAAACTGTAAATTAAATCAAACCCAAACCTCCTAACATGGTCTGTGAGGCCCTCGGTGATCTTGCCCAACCTACCTTTCTTCCTTGCTCTCTCACACTCGCCCTTGGCTAACTCCAGCCTTATCCGCTGACCCTTGCCCCTATAGTTAACTTTGTGCCAGCCACTCAGCCTTCCTTTTGTTCCTGCCTTTAAGCCATTCGTTACTATTTCTTCTTTCTGGCAGGTGGTACCCAGGGACAGGGCTACTCAAAGACATTCTTCAAACGTCTTCCAAGGCTTTTCTGGAACACTTTAAAATATTATAGTCCCTTAAATGACTCTCCATCTCATATGTCCATATTTACTTCACATGAGCAGGAACCTTTTCTATTTGCTATTGTATTCCCAATGCCCAGCACACAGCAAGTGTCCAATTATTTCTACAAATTTAAAGAATACATAAACACCTACTATGTGCTAGAAACTATTGTAGGTAACAAAAACAGGGCAGACAGGACAAAGGTCTGGCTCTCATGGAACTTTATTCTCTGAGAAGCAGATCAGCAAATTTCACCAAGGGGGGAAGTAACGTAAATGAATGAAGCAAAGGTACTTGTTTCTTTGCAGGGGAGGTGTACCAGGGATTGAACTCAGGACCGTGCACTTGCCCAGCAGGCACTTAGGGTGCTGAGCTATCTCCCTGGCCCGGAGAGGCAGTATTTTATGTAGGGCCATCAGAGAGGGCCTTGCTGATAAGACGGCATTTGGGCAGGCCTGAAGGATGCAGGGAGCAAATGTATGAGCAGTGGTTACCTTCCACAAGCAGAGAAATAGCACAAAGGCCCTGGGAAGGGATCCAATTAGGCACTTAAGAAAACAGCAAGGACTTCACCACGGAGCCTAGAGTACAACAGACAGGACAGTAGGAGACGGGATGCGAGAGTCAGTCGGGGCCCTGCAAGCCACTGGAGGACTTGGACTCTATTCAGCAGGTTGAGAAGACGCTGCAGTATTCTTGGCAGACTGACAAGACATGATTTATGCTTTTTTTTTTAATTTTTTTTTCAAACCAAATTAGTAGGACAGTTTCAATAATTTACACATTGCATACACTCTTCCTAGTGGTTAATTGTTGTACAAGATGCAGACATGATGTTCTATTTACAAACACTATTAGAACAAACCGCTCATTAAGAAAATGTAACTATGTATCTATCCTAACCACTCTGAATACACAGATACAAAAATGGACATTCATCTGTATCCCCTTTTTGTTTAGTTCCCTTATTTGAATATTATACGTGTGTTAACTCAGCAAAATATTCTAAAGAGTCCAGATGATTATGCTTTAAAAGAATCACTCTCGCTATTCAGAGAAGAGCAAAAGAAACAAGGATTGGAATGACAATGGCATGCAGTGGAGAATGAGAAAGAGACTGTATTCTGGATTATATTTAAGGTAGAATCAACAGGACTTTCTGACAGAATTGTGGCACATGAGAGGAAAAAGTCAAAGATAATTCCACCACTGTTAGCCTGAGTTCCTACTAACAAAGTGGTAATTTACTTCTAGGGAAAAAGGAAAAAACAAACTTGGTTTTGGGCTCATCAAGTCTGACTGAGATGCCTACTGGTCATGCAAGTGATTTCCAAGTCTGATAGATGAATAAATCTGGAAATCAAATGACAAACATAAGCTGCATATTTTACACTGTACTTGACAGTCCATTTATATAAAATACTTAAAGCCATGAGGCTGGATGATACCACCTCGGCTATGAGAGCCTAAAGAAGAGGTCCTATAACTGATTCCGCAGACATTTCCCAACATTTAAAGGTCGGAAAGATGAAAAGTCAGCAAAGAAGCTATGCGTGGTGGTACAGGCCTATAATCTCAGCACTGAAGAAACTGAGGCAGGAGGATCCACTCGAGTTCAAGGCCAGCTTGCACTGCATGGTGAGACCCTGTCTGCAAAAAAAAATCATGTACAGGTACGAATTCT